ATCCATCCATCCATCCATCCATCCATCCATCCATCCATCCATCCATCCGTCCATCGGTCCATCCGTCCGTCGGTCCGTCCGTCCGTCCATCCATCCATCCATCCATCCATCCATCCATCCATCCATCCATCGGTCTGTCCATCCATCCATCCATCCATCCGTCCATCCATCCATCCATCCATCGGTCCATCCGTCCGTCGGTCCGTCCGTCCGTCCGTCCGTCCGTCAATCCATCCATCCATCCATCCATCCGTCCGTCCATCCGTCCGTCCATCCATCCATCCATCCGTCCATCCATCCATCCATCCGTCCATCGGTCCATCCGTCCGTCGGTCCGTCCGTCCGTCCGTCCGTCCATCCATCCATCCATCCATCCATCGGTCTGTCCATCCATCCATCCATCCATCCATCCGTCCATCCGTCCGTCCGTCCGTCCGTCCGTCCGTCCGTCCATCGTCATAAAGTCCAGGAGGTTTTATCTGAGCTCTGTTTATAACTCCTAAATGGAACTGTCACTGTTGTGTTCATTTTGTTTTGTTAAACTAAAATACTAAAACGGCATTTTCTTAATGTAGAGCCCTAAGGAAAGGGGGGAGAGCCCCCTCCACAGGAAAAGTCCTGCGCTGTCCAGTTTGGTGTCCAATAAAAGAGGAGGACGAAGGCTGCAGATTGACTTAAAGAAAGGTTGGAAACATCTAGATAAGTAAAGAAACTGCATTGAGACCAAATTTTACCAGGTTATGTTCAGTTAACCATTTAGCATTGAATGTTGGTCCTCAGTTTATGTGACCTACATTGAAATCTTAATAATATTTATAACAATTTTGTTGCATTATTTCCTTCTCAGATTATTCATTTAATTGTTTTGAGTGAAAGTCTAGAAGTTAAGACGTTGAATGTAGTTTGAGGAGGTGTTTGCCTTACCAGTTCGTATGGATTTGTTCTCATTTCTGTAAACCTATCAGGCAAAGTCCTTTTCCTCCCTCCATCTTCCACATTCCCTCTCTTCAGGGTCTATTAAGTCTTTATTGATCTGTTCATTTCTGCTGATATGAATTCATAGCAGACCAAACTGCTGACTTGGCTCTGCTAAAGAGACCAGACTTAATGAGGTCTATAAACCACACAACCAGTCCAACTGTCTGTGTGCAACCTCTTTATGTTCTCACAGCCGTGTGTGTGAGGCATTTTGATGCACATTTATATGTGCACATATTTTCTCTGATTAAGCTTTCTGTCTTTATCTTCTTATTTTCCAGAACATTGTCTCTATGTTTCCAATATTTTTCATTCATTTCACTTTTACCCGTCTTGCCATCTTTTTTGACCTTTAGCTGAACCCTCTTTTCATACATTGACCTCCTCCCTTTTCTCCAACCAGCTATCCTTTCTTTCTTTCCTTCCTCCCTCATCGCAGCAATATTAATAGAAAATATTTCCATATTTCGTTTTTGCCATCTTTACTTTTCTCTTTTTGTCATTCTTTTTTTACCTTCTCCTGAACCATCCAAACCCTTTATGCTTGCAGACGTGTAGCTGCACATGTTTCCTGAAGATTTAAAGCGACACACTCAATCTCCAAAGGCTCAAAGTTATCACACATAGAATACATTAGATGGGGTCAGGAGCTGAATCAACAACGCTTCACTGAAGCTCTTTGAATAGTTTAAAGTATCTTTGTATTGAAGGTTGAATTCAGATCTTCACCTTAAAATCCTGCTGAAATGTATTCAGTCATTTGGAGCAAAGCTCTGATTTTTGCCTCTCTCTGTGGTTGGGATTGTAGGTTCAGAGGGTCTCGGATTTACTGTTGTAACCAGAGATTCCTCAATACACGGCCCAGGTCCTATTCTAGTGAAAAACATTCTGCCACGAGGAGCTGCTATCAAAGATGGACGGCTTCAGTCTGGAGACCGCATCTTGGAGGTAGAGGAGAGCTTACCTGGATGTTTCTTTTTGTCTCTACATCCTAACATATCTATTCAAGAAGAGCTTGATATTTGGGTGTTTTTAGGTAAACGGTGTGGATACCATCGGGGTGGGCCAGGAGGAGCTGGTGTGTATGCTCCGCAGCACTCGTCAGGGGGAGACTGTGTCCCTGGTGGTCTTACGGCAGGATGAGATGTTCCTTCCCAGAGAAATGGTAAGAAACAGTCCCAGTGTTAACATGGCAGCCAGCAAGACAAGACTTTCTGTTGGCTTTGAAAACTGATCTGGTTTCTTATTTATTCTAGTCATTTTGTTCAGTTTTAATATTTAAAGAAATTTGGTTTGATTCCACACTAACTGTGTTTTTATAGTTTCCCACTTTGAATGAATCTCTGGACTTTGTAAGGGTTAAAATATGCTTTTTTTGCACCTTGTATCAGCACATTGTTTTTGCTAAATTTCCCCTTTGTTCTAAAGTTCTTAATAAACATCTTTTCTCTAACTGGATTTATTTTTCCTTGTTTTCTTTCTATTTGTCATTATTAGTTCCAGTAATACTAACTAACCTCTTTTATTCGATTTATTATTTTGCACTTTTGCTGATCGTTTTCTCTCTACTTGTTTCCATATTTTTTGCTGTGTGGCTTCTCCCTTTTTTATTTTGTTCACTCACAAATGTTAGGATTCTTTCCATTTTGTTGTTTTCTTTTTAAATGTCAACGGTCAAATTTTAAAACGAAAGTCCACAAGAAGTTAAGAGTTGAGTTGTAAGTCATTAAGTAAACATTTGATCAATCAATCAACAGATCAATTGATCACATACTACTCATTATGGGGATAAAACCCTTTCATTTAACTCTTCCTACACGATCACAAGAACAACAAAATTGCTTTCAGATGATCTCAGGGACTCTTAGACCATCATAACAAAAAAATTTTGATCAGGATATTCGTCTAAATGTTGGGAAAAATCTAAGTAGTATGAATTTATAGAACTCTGTCTACTAAGACTTGAGCACATGGAAGGAAAACAATGATGAGAAAGGTAAATAATCACCTCACTAACCCTTTGATCTGAAGGCAGTATGGGCTGGTGTTTTTCAATAAAAAATTGAAGTAATTCGATCTAGATGTGGGAGGTGGAGCTATTGTAAGATCTGATCATCATTAAGGTCTTCAATATCAACTCGTCATATAATTTTTACAGAAAAAGTATAATGAAGGAAGATTGTCTAAGTAACAATTGGTAGTGGAAACATTTGACTTTCAGCTGTACTTTGTTGTGACAAGTATACCACCTGAATACCAGCTTTATGGGCTCTTGGAAAAAGCCAAATAATTAGAAAGATGCTGAAAATCTGAAACGTTCATCCTAAACAGTGGAGATTGAATGGGGATTAGTTACATCATGTCTGTAACTAAAGAGATGCATTAGAGCAGAGAGAGTAAAGAAGTCAACCCTAAAGAAGCCATTTGGATGAAGCTGAAAGTTTGAGTTGGAGGGTGTTTTAGAATTATTTAAGAGTTTCTGTGGAGTCAAAATCCTCATTTTGACCTGTGGAAAACCTACAGAAAAAATGCCTTCAATCAAAGAAGTAGATGGTTCTGAAACACAACCAGTGCTGATGAAGCTTGGGTTTTCCATACCTGCCATTGTAGTGAGGACCATGTGTTGACTCCCATTGACTTACATTGATTTTCAGTCATTTTCAACCATTTCTTTGCCCTAACTCTGAAACTAACTCTAAACCTAAACATTACCAATGCATACCTCACCCTAACCCATTGACACCTTAGCCCTAAACCTAACCATTAGCAAAATAGCATGGGAGGAGCAGCAAAATGTCCTCTCTTTGCAACAACTGGTTCTCAGTCTGATGGTGAAATTGGAAAAATGGTTCTTACTCTGAGGGCTAGACAGTTACCCTCTGACCACCATCAGTAGACAATGCAGGTGAAGTGTGTTGCCCAAGGACACAACGAAACTAAAAGCCGGAGCCGGACTCAAACCGACAACCCTCCAATTGCAGGGCAAACTCCTGCACTCAAAGCCACTGTCACATTAAAAATGGAGTCCAACACATTAGGACCAAATTTTAATTTATTCTCAGGGTTTAATGTGAACATCTTACAAAACCATAATGTGATGATGCAATGCTGGAAATGTTCTTTTTTTGTCTTTTAATTTGATTTATGGCATTAGATGTTGAACTGAAAACAGTCTAACTCCTGCTATAAATTCCTTTTCAAAATAGCAGTACCTGGAAACTAGCATCTACGGAGACGAGGCCTGTTATGAAAAGCACAGCTCTACATCATGTTTCCTGCCTCATGTTTCAAATGTTTATTTCACTCAATCACATGCAAACCTGTTCTTTTTCCAACATTTTTGTGTAAGCTTTGGATTTTTCTGGATTTTCTCTAAAAATCCCTGTCTACTTTAAGTATGATTTACAAAGCATTCATTTCTTTGTCAGTGTGCTTAATTACAAAACAAAGAGGAACTAAAAACAAAGATTTCCCTCCCTACAATTCTTTCCATGAAACAGTTTGTTTTTGCTTTTACCACTGCTAAAATATATCACTGATGACTCTGATTGTTTCTTTTTCTTTTTCTCACAAACAGTTGCACAAATGCAACTTAATTAACAATTAAAAATGTTATCTTCCTATACTTTAGTACTACTCAGACAGATTATGAATTGGAAGAACTAAACATGTTTCTCTCCAGCCGTCACTCACTGTTGTGGTTTGTTTCCTCCTAGTGTCTCTTGTTCTCTCTTACTTTGCCTTCTATGCCTCTTCCCTTTGTGTCTCTTTCCGCTCCTGACGACTGATGTTTCCTCAGTGGCTGCCAGGCGACCACATACCAACATTTTCATGTGACCCTGAGCCCCATAGGAAATTCTGTTTCTGCAGACAGGAAAATGGGTGAAGTGTTAGTGTGAGAGCATGTGTTAGCATTTACGATAATTTGTTAATGTATCCAGGATTTCATCGTGTGTGCATGCCTGAACTCTGATAGCTGGCTGCCTGTGAAGGCCAAGTATACATTTTTTGGGTGTATACACATCATAGCAGCTTTGTTTTTCTCAGAATTTTCCACTCAGATTCTCTTTTCTTCTACAGTTCGCCAAATGTTATATATCCAATTAGTAAACAATATTAGAACTCTGTAAACCTTTTTTTTTCTCTAGTTCATGACGTCATCTATTTGCTCTTTGTTAATAGTTGACATATTTTCCTGAGATGTCAGAGGAGTGTCCTTCACTAAAAACATAACGACTCGCTGTGTCCCATAAGGGAAACATTGTTCTGAGTTCAATGATTTTAATGCTGTTATTGGCTACCTCCAACTTCAGGGCACTTTTTATAAACATTCTTATGCTTTGAAGCATCAGGTAATGGAGAGTGTGGAGATGGGTTGTGCATCGCTAAAGGTTGTTTTGATTAAGGATACTCGCCTAAGTTTGCTCTAATTGGTTCCATATAAGCAATATTTGCGTTTTTGTTAATTTTATGTGTTCACACCCCATTTAAAATGTCAGATTAATGTGATATAAATGACACAATTAATTTATCAACTTTTTAACACTGTGTCCAATAATCCATCTGAAAAAAAAAATAAAAATTTTTAGATTAAAGTAAATTATACATTAACATCATTGCATAAGTAATGAATGTTGTATGAATGCTTCGCTGAAACACCGTTTGGTTCAGTTTTGGCGTTTGCCCTGTTTGCACTCACATCTGCCATTAATTACAGTGAAATCTGAGATGAAGTCCAGCTGTCCTGCTCAGCTTTTCTCCCACTTATCCATTTCCATGTGCATCTAAAGCAATAGTTAGCTGAGGGATTACAAAGGATGATAAAGATTTTTTTCGTAGGAAGGGTCAATCCAGGATAAGAACACAAACACATTTTAAAGTTATTCGCACTTACATCTATAAACACTTTCTTTTAAATACATATACATTCACAAAAGAGGAATTACAGTGCCGCCTATGTGCTTTGTGGGCCATAATCCTTGACGCGGGTGACCCGGGTTTGAATCCGGCCTGTTGTCGTTTCCCACATGTCTCATTCCCACATGTCAACATCTCTCATTCCCCCTTTCCTGTCAGCCTACTGTCCAACAAGCCACTAGAGCCAAAAAACTCAAAAAAAAAAAAAAAGAGGCATTAGAGGGTTATTAATGATACTGCCGCCTGTGGCCAAAACACAGAACTGCAGCCCTTTTCTGCTCGTCCTCATGGCTTGTGGTCATACTTAACAAGGTTTTTGTATTTTGCTTTTTTTCATCTTACCAGGACTTACAATTGGTGTCTAAATTCAGCGGGATGCCAGTCGCTTCTTATTGTCCACAAAATTCATCTTAAATCTAACATTTTGATTGTTTGGTTGGATCCATTTAACATGGACGCTCTCAACGTCACATCTGAATTAGATTAAGGCTACAGGCTTATAATTGCATCATCGCTGAACCACTGAGGTGTCAGTTTGCTCATCAAAAGATGTTTTAGCCTAAAAGATTAAATAAAAAGGCTGTTTTATATATACTCTTTCAGTAAAAACTTACATAAAGTCTATTTGAACACAGTAGAATGTTGTCAAGTTACTACAAACTGTTATAAAAACTCTGGTAAAAACACTGAAGAAGTGCCTGGATTTTTCAACAGTTACTGAATGTGTTCTGCTGGCAACATCAGTCTTATATCTTTGTCTTTTGTCAAGACTAAGAAATATTTGCAAACAACAAGGATTTGCTTGTAAAGCAGACACCCATGGCCCGCTATAATCTTGTTGTAGGTTGATTAAAAACCAAACTTTACCAGCATTGCAAATATTATGCCAAACATTCATTTCCAGAATGAATGTTTGCTATAAAAGCAGCAACACATCAACAAAAGAACAACAAACTCGAAGGGAAACGGTGATGGAAGCGTTATGTTTGCGGTTTCTTTTCTCTACAGTAATTTCGGGTTTTAATTTTATATCTCTAGATATAGTTAAGTCTAATGAAATTATTAATATTGCTGATTACTGCAAATGAAGAAGGGAATGCTCATTTTTAAACCCAGTTTCAGCAGACATTAAACAGTAATATAAGCTCCTCTGCATTCTTAGGAATTGTGGCTTCTGTGTGTGTTTATGGGGAGGACAGCAGAAGAAGAATGACATGGAAATGATGGAATGATCTCTTCTTTCTTCTC